GTGCCACCGGGATTACCGCCTATTTGAGGGATTGAGCATCAGATTGACTTAATTCCCGGTGCTTCACTGCCAAACCGTGCGCCATACCGTACCAATCCAGAGGAGACGAAGGAGATTATGCGTCAAGTACAAGAGCTTCTTGACAAAGGTTATATACGTGAATCCCTTAGTCCTTGTGTTGTTCCTATTATTCTAGTGCTCAAAAAGGATGGTACATCGCGTATGTGTGTTGATTGTAGAGGCATTAATAATATTACTATTCGTTATCGTCATCCTATTCCTAGGCTAGATGATATGCTTGATGAATTGAGTGGCTCTATAATATTCTCCAAAGTTGATTTGCGTAGTGGATACCATCAAATTCGTATGAAATTGGGGGATGAATGGAAAACAGCATTTAAAACTAAGTTTGGATTATATGAGTGGTTAGTCATGCCTTTTGGGTTAACTAATGCACCTAGTACTTTCATGAGATTAATGAACGAAGTTTTACGTGCTTTCATTGGACGATTTGTGGTAGTTTACTTTGATGACATATTGATTTATAGCAGATCTTTGGAGGAACATTTGGAACAAGTTTGTCGTTAATGATGAATTTGTGTTCTGTGCTAACAAGCTATGCATTCCAGCTAGCTCCATTCGTCTTTTGTTGTTGCAGGAGGCACATGGAGGAGGACTAATGGGACACTTTGGCGTGAAAAAGACGGAGGACGTACTTGCTACACATTTCTTTTGGCCAAAGATGAGACGGGATGTTGAGCGTTTTATTGCTCGCTGCACTACATGTCAAAAAGCTAAGTCACAACTCAATCCTCATGGTTTATATATGCCTTTGCCTGTACCTAGTGTTCCTTGGGAGGATATATCTATGGACTTTGTTTTAGGTTTACCTAGAACAAAGAAGGGGAGGGATAGCATATTTGTTGTCGTGGATAGATTCTCGAAAATGACACACTTTATACCATGTCAGAAAAGCGATGATGCTGTTAATGTTGCTGATTTGTTCTTTCGTGAAATTATTCGCTTGCATGGTGTGCCAAATACTATTGTTTCAGATCGTGATACTAAATTTCTTAGCCACTTTTGGAGATGTTTATGGGCTAAGTTGGGGACTAAACTGCTTTTTAGTACTACTTGTCACCCCCAAACTGATGGACAAACTGAAGTAGTCAATAGAACATTGTCTACTATGCTTAGGGCTGTTTTGAAGAATAATAAGAAAATGTGAGAGGAATGCTTGCCTCATATTGAATTTGCTTATAATTGTTCATTGCATTCTACTACTAAGATGTGCCCTTTTGAAGTTGTGTATAGTTCCCTACCTCGTGCACCTATTGATTTGTTGCCTCTTCCATCTTCGGAGAAGGTTAATTTTGATGCTAAACAACGTGTTGAATTGATTTTAAAAATGCATGAGTTAACTAAGGAAAACATTGAGCATATGAATGCTAAATATAAACTTGCTGGAGATAAGGGTAGAAAACATGTTGTGTTTGCACCTGAAGATCTTGTTTGGTTACATTTGCGTAAGGATAGATTTCTTGATTTGCGCAAATCAAAGCTAATGCCATGTGCTGATGGTCCCTTTAAGGTGTTGGAGAAAATAAATGATAATGCATATAAACTTGAGCTGCCTGCAGATTTTGGGGTTAGTCTTACTTTTAACATTGCAGATTTGAAGCCTTATTTGGGTGAGGAAGATGAACTTCCGTCGAGGACGACTTCATTTCAAGAAGGGGAGGATGATGAGGACATCAATACCATTGTTACACCCACAGCCCCTGCTGCTATACATACTGGACCAATTACTAGAGCTCGCGCACGCCAACTAAATTACCAGGTACTTTCGTTTCTTGGTAATGATTCTAATATTCATGAGAATATGATGCTGCCTAAATTGGATACATTTGTTTTGCTTACAAATGAAGGGCCTAGCTTGGAGAAGGATGAACATTGGAACAAGAACAAGCATGGAGATGATGGCATGCGCAAGGGGAACAAGAACGGAGTTACAAGTGATGATTTCAGGACTTTGAAACCACCATAATGAGTGCATGAAGCCTTGGACGAAATATACAAGATGCCACTTCATAAATTTCGTTCAGAGGCTATTCTAGGTGTTGCGTCACCTTATTATTGGGCCAGGCCCATGTAATTTCGAAATACATAAGTATAGGCTATTTTTAGAGTCCGTATGTGTGGGAAAACAAGAGATAGGGTTAGTTTCGGACCCCTCCACCAAGGGCCACGAAATTCACCCCCTCTTCCTCCATATAGACAGCCCTTAGGGCACCGTTTAGACTTTGGGTTTTGTTTAGATTAAAAGTTCGCCATAGCTGCAACTTCACGTACTTCGTTTGTGTTCAACGACCAGACAAAGGCGTCACAGAACCCCACCTTGATCAATAAAGCTTTCATCTTATATTCGCAATATCTAGATTGCAATCTCAGTTTCTTGCTTGTTCTTCGTTTGCTCGCAGGAAACAGACCCTCGTGGTCATGTTGATCGTGCTCCGGCGTGGTCAATAACCTCTCGGAGTTGGTTTAGCGATTGCTAAGGCGCGACGTCCTCGCACATTCGTAGTCGGATCGTCAAAGTCGACTTCCACCAAAGCGATATCCATCATCTCATCGAAAGACGGGACACATTTGCCTCTATCAGTGGGTCTAATCGTACGGTGTTTATAGCTCGTGCGGTGTTATGGGGCTAATTGCGGGGTGCATCTAAAAAAGTTCTTGTTTGATTATTTAATAGTAGTGGAGATACGTTCCACTCTTTCCTTCTCCTCTTTCTCTACTTATACTACTTAAAAAGAACGTAAGGTTCTCATTTCACCTCTCTTTCGTCCAACCTTTCTTATATACGTTCCACTCTTTCCTTCTCCTCTTTCTCTACTTATACTACTTAAAAAGAACGTAAGGTTCCCATTTCACCTCTCGTTCGTCCAACCTTTCTTATATACGTCCCACTCTTTCCTTCTCCTCTTTGATTTTTCCTCTCACCTCTAATTTTTCTCCCATAAATTCTCACTAAAATATAATCAATTGTCTCATGTTTTATTAACTTACCAAAATAAAAACATATTTTGTTTGGTAATTCATTAAATTCTTACCAAATAAGTGCTTAACAATAAAATGGCAGGTAAATCATGGTGATTGCATAGAAGAACTTGCTAAGATTTTAGCGCATCAATATAATAATAGACGTGCAGTCACAGGCTAATCTATTAGAATGTTTATACTCCCGTTGCAACGCACGGGCAATTGTCTAGTATAGATATATAGATACATAAATTAATATATTGGCATTTTTTTAAAAAAAATCGCCACAACATTTCCTTTCACTCCATTGGCCCACACAACACCATTATCGTCATGCACTGCTCATCAGTGATTTCGTCCGAAGAGATCATGACAGCTCGGCAGGGCTAGTAGAACTTTTCAAGGGAGACCGTAATGTGTTGTGTTGAGTTACCGTATTTCAACTCTTGTTCCAACTTTGCGCGACCGTATTAATCTGTGAGGTCGAAATGGTCAATTGGTCATTTTTCCCTTTTTTTTAATTTCTTTTAGTCTAATCCCTTTTTTTTAATGATGAGGGGTGTGGTCGTCGTCAATTGGTACCGTATTTTCGCAAAGCTGGGGCATTTCGGCCCATCCAATGTAATTGGGCTTTGATTTGTTTGGTTACTCTGGCCTTACCTTTAAAGTCAGACCACATATATACGCGGGCCCCGAGCCCTGTCATACTCTCTCTCGTGCCTATTCCAATAAGCCCAAGATAGCCAAATATTGGCCCGGTCGCGGCGACGGCTTAGACTAAAAAAAAAAACACGGCGACAACGACGTCTTCTTCCTGATCGGCTACCCGGCGACGGGGAGTACCTTTCTCCTCACCTCGACCTGCCGCGGCTGCCCAACTCCTTTCCTTTCTCCACCCCCAGTACGCGACGACGAATTCTCATCTTCCATTGGTGCTCCGCTGTGTATACGAGTAAAATACTTATCATATTTGATTCCAAAAATGTTTCAAAGACTTTCTTTTTGCAATTACTAAATTATTTTGCTTATATAGGGTTGGCTGGCAGCCTGGCACCCAGGTGCACCAAGTCCCCTTCCCCACATTGCAGTAGATTGTCTGGATGAAGAAAAATTGTGCCATCTTGTTTTTTTGACCCCGAACTGTAGGAATTTCTTCCCACCGAATTTTTAATTCTTTATAAAATAAATGTACAGGTAAGGAAAAGAAAATCTATCTATCTATGTAGCTATACAGGAAAAGAACTGTAAAAAGCAAAGCAAGGGAGGGTGAGAGCAGCATCCAAACAAGGCGCTCAGAAAGCAAAACTTAGCTCCTCCCTCAAAGGCCACCTGCCTATCTGAAAGACTGCACCCATCGATATGAAATTTTAGAGCCTTTACCCGTGAAAAAAAATCAATTTGCACCACGAATTGAAGGATCACATTGTCACTAACATGACACCCTGCTAAAACCCACTTACTACTGAAACAGCATAGAGAACTACTCCCTCCATCCCATAATTTAAGACGTTTTTTGACACTATGGGACGGAGGGAGTATATATGTTTGAGCAAGGACAGCATCGCCTGGTACTTTTGTTCAGGACGATGGTTGTACCCATGCTGCTAAAAATGAAGCCTCTAAACAAGCACTCAACAAATCTCAAAGAACTGCACAAAATTCAAGGCCATGACAGAGTATATCCAGACAATCTTTTCTTTCAACCAAATACAACTTTTACCAGGACATTGTGAAGGCAGACTCAGGTTCACGACACAGCACTGCCCTTCCATCTGTAAGGCTACAAGAGATTGACTGCTGCTCCCATTTTAGAGAAACCAAGCAGCCGCAGGTTAGACTAAAATTTGGACTTATCATCATACATATAGTTTTCAAACGAAACTGAACACACATTGAGCTGGCAAAATAGCTTGCTTCTGATAAATCTGTGACACTCCACCGATGCAGCTTGACTTCAATTAGTTCCAGGTGCTGAGCGCCGCTGCCAGGCCCGTTTGAGCATCTACCGCACGACGCAGATCTTCGAGGAAGTTCATCTATACTTCCATTCATCACAGGAGAGCAATCAGCGTATAGAAACAAAAAAAGACGCAAGAGGAAAACTAAAATAACAACAATAATTTGTTGGTTTAGTTCATACCTGATGAGGAAGTTTCATGTGACCTTGACCCCATGACAATCCGCCAGATCCAGCGTACATCACTGGTTTATCTGCTCAACCATTGAGATAACATAGTTAGCAACTTAGCATTATTATAGGAGGGCACTCTGCTTTGTTGTTTCAGATTGGCAGCATTGACATGAGGTTAAGGTAGTATAGCTGAATATGATCTTTATGAGACATCTATTCATAAAAACGTTTGAAGTGCACAGCAGCATGCACTATCCTAGTGACACTGATAGGTCCACATGATCCTAAGAACATTTTTGTCTTTCCCCGTGACTGTGCCACTACTGCTACCAACACTTCAGATTCACGTGCATTCTTTCTTGTCAATGATTGAAGGCTAACAAAATTACACATTAAAAGGCCATTAGAGCATCTTTGATCCTTATTTCTAAAACTTGGGTCATACACCAATTACTTGTGCTTAGAGCTCCATCCAAAATTCACTCTTATCAATGCAGTAAATCTCCCCTATATGTGTTGCCTGAAGTTGCTAGACGCAAGAATCTTAGGGAAATTGAACATTTCATGTTAACATTTTTTTACCATAGCATCAACAGGAAGGTTAGAACAGGACAACGAATGTCAAAAGATTAGGCTAGCAACATATACACATGACTAGCTGATGTGATTCTTCAGACTTGCTGCTAGGATACCGTTACGTTATGGTTATGCAGACTAGATATGATGTGCTATAGTCCAATTTGCATCATTATTTTTCACTCTCAGGAAAGTTCAAACTGGACCAGCTACTGTAAAACCGCTTATTCAACACTTGTTTCGAAACTAGCACAATTTTCACCCTAGCCATGCTTGCTTATGTGAAATCCAACAGGGTTCGATTCGCTGAGTCAGTAAGCCAATGAGCCATGTCAAAAAGACACCTCACACTTTAATGTACTAGCATGATGCTGACTGGGATACAACAGAAGCAATCGACATGTCAAAACTGCTTATAAAATGAAAATCAATGGGTGATGTGTACCAGACTACCAGTCCTTGCTAAGGGGATTAAATACCTTGCACTACAGTCCAATATATACTTACGTGATAGTAGAGGGAGCTAATTTGACTTTTTGTATGTGGTAACATCGTAAGAATGTGACCATCAAGTTGGTATAGCATGAACCAACACACAAGAACCAATTGAACTGCCAATAGATGAAAGCTAATTCGAATTTTAAATTGTGTGTGGTGATTCTTGAATATTAAGGAGCTATGCTTGCTTTAACGCCTACAATGGAGCAACGTGAAACTAATTGCAATATGTGTGCTCACCAGGGGAATCATTTGGGTCATTATACATGTTCATTGCAGCAGCCCAACCTACAGAGAAACAGTATGGAGGGTTATTATCACAAGGTGAAATGTAGAGAAATAAGTTAAGTCAGATTTAGTACAACGGCTGCAGCTTGTAGGATGAAATAACAGTGCGTATCTGAGAAGACCAGACCATAAGTAATTAAACTTGCCTAAGCTCTGGTGATTTGTAAGTGCAATTGTCATAAAACAAACAGTTGAGGGTATGATTAATAAAGGAAAAGAAGAGATCACATTATCAGCAATAGGTATCCAAGCTGGATCACTGGATGTTCTTACAACTAAGACTCGCAAGCATATAATTGGAAATAAAGTGCAAAAGGTGCTCCATGCTTACACATTGTAATTTGAGTGAGTGGATATTGAATTGTTAGCATGTATAAGCTCAAAACAGAAATAGATCACACTTTCTTATCATGTTATTGTAGATTTTATGTGACACAGCAATAATATGCAGCAATTTTCAGTATTCAAAAGAAAATAACTTCTAGCACAGATATTCTACAAGCCATTGAAAGGGCAGTATGCGTATGCAGTCTTTCTGATAAACATACGTTCACTGAGAAGCTGTGAAGCCTCACTGGCAGAACATCCTTCCAATGGTATTAATCTGGCATGACTGTAATCATTTTGAGCATTGCTGACAAACGCATCATGATGGATAATTGGAGGAAGGTTCTTTAGTGAAGGAACATGGCTCTTCTCTCCATCATTGTTGTATGAATAGTTGGCTTTCTCAGCCCTATCTGCTTGATGAAATAGGAAAAGTGTCCCAAATGTTAGCTAAACTTAAACATACAGATTGAGCATAGAAAAATACACACAAGGAAAATACTAGCCATCAAAAGTTTATTACAGATGGATAAAACGGAAGTGCAAACATATCTACGAAAGGAGTTTCTGAGAAGCTATAAGAGATGACCATGTAAGTAAAAAGAACAGCAAAATCGTTTTTTACTTCTGAAATGGCTAATTACAGAGATTAGCAGAATATGATTAAAATTTGCAGGTGACCTGCATTAGATGTGCGATATTTTAAACCCATGCAATGGTGCATAGAATGTTTCATGCAGAGATGTTGGTGTACTAAAGATCTTACTGTTACTAATGGTATCACTCATTGTCTCAAAGAAGAACCACATTAATTGGAGTATGTAGACATCTAAAGGCACTCCTAGACAAACTTTGGGACACAATGAGAGACACCATATAATACCAAGCAACTACAACAGATCATATTGAGTTATTCACTATTGGTGGGACCATGCGCATCATACGGAGCGTAGTGACCAAACACACAATAAAAGGAAAACATAGCATACATCCGCAAAAAAAAGGAAAACATAGCATAACAAGTATCTATGAAGTCTAACTAATCGCATCCAAATGAGATGTACCTCCAGCCTTGCGGCGATTGTTTGCACGATTCCTGAAGCATAATGAGAGTAAAGAAGGCCATCAGCAAGCAGGTCATACGCACAAATACGTAGCAACATAAAAAGCTAACAATGCAGTCAGCGCAAAAACATCTTTCAAGTACTAACTAGGTTTTTAAACATCATACACATACTGAGAACTGCAGATATCTAACTATTAGGTCAGGAATACTAGAAACATAACTAAGAACAACTGACCAAATCAACAATGTTGTCAACTGAACGCACAAGATTGCTTCAACAAATCTACTTTCTGTTCATGGCTTCATGCTGAACTAAATTGTGATTGTTAATCGTAAGTGAATACAGAACAATTACAGCATTTGAGTAACAGAAATTTAAAACATGCAGAGCCAGATAATATAGACAAGAGACCTTCAAGCCAATTATATACACTACTTCAAACTGATCATCGGCTTTATCCAAGCTGGACGACTGCATGGGTAAGAGTGGCTGAGCAAGGTTGCGTTAAGTTGAATAATCCACACTAGAGTCACCCTTCATCTCGGAATGAAGCCATGATGCTTGACCAAAGCTAAACAAACACCCTTTAGGCAAAAAGTTAGCTTTCAAGAGTGTCCTTTCTCCATATACTCACTGATAAGCTAGATCAGCATGCCAAAAGACCACCCCAGGACCAACAATGGTAGCTTGCTAGTGATGAAGATATATGTGTCAAGAACCGCTTTCATTTCCCCTCAAAAAAAAAAGAACCGCTTTCATTATGCCCTCTAGTATGAGCTAGCAGAAAGCCAGCGTCCATCTCCAAAATAGGATAGCGAAAAGAAAGAAAAAGCAAGTCTAGATATGCCGATTCGGTGACAACAATCATAGGCTATTGCATGTTCTCAGGCGCTACCTCAAATCACACGCATTAACTATTAAGCAGCTATAGAAAACGACGTAGCAGCCAAATCTAAGAAGGGCAATGAGAACGTCACACCGTCAACCTTCCAGCTAACCCCAACCAAACCACCAGATGAATGCCCCGAAGCGTAATAGTAGTACCAAAATCCCAAGAAATGGCCGAATCCAAGGCAGGCAGCTCCCAGCCTCCGCGCCACAGGTGCCCCAGATCACCAAGAACTAGAAGCCACCTCTTCTTGCAAAGGATTCGACCAGGCCGGGGTCCAATCCCACACTCGGAATGCGATTCTCGGTAAGCGCGGCCCGAATCGAAAATGGCAAGAAGCTGCAGGAGCGTCGTGGAAAGAAAGGCGAATGCGGGAGGGGTTGACCTGTGCACGGGAGGCGTGTATCTCTTGATGCTGTCCGGGTTGCTATCCGCCATGGCAGCAGCTCGGGCCCTGGGAGGCGTGGAGGGGGGAGGAAGAAGGAGCGGGTGGTGGGTGGGGTTGCTTCCTTCCTCCTCCTGCCCAGCCCGGCTGCCGCCCTGTTTCTTCCACCCTCCGTGCCCTGCCCCGACGAGAGATGCAAAAGAGGGAGGAACAAAGGGGCGAAGATGGGGGCCCGGGCCGGGGGTGTGGGTGGGGAAAGCGGGAGTGCTTTGCGCAATAATGTCTCGATTCCGGGAAACTGCTGCCACTGACGAGTGGGCCGTAGAATTGCGCTGTGTCACGACTGGAAGTCCCAAAACAAGAGATCCACAAGTTTTTTCTTTTGAGTTTCTTTTAGGGGTAGTTTTTTCTTTTGAGTTTTCTTTTCAAAGATCCAACATCGCTTACATTTCATTGATAACAGCAAGCAACGGAAAACAATTCTAAGACCAGAAGATCCGAAGATTAAAGAAAAAGAAGAAGAAAAAAAGTAGCAACTCTAATAGCTACGGCACAACACTTCATACAAATCATACTATACAGTGCAGTTCCGACTCCAACAATGAAATCACAAAGGAATCTAGGTAAGGTTGGTGTCACAG